TGGGGGCAGAGGGGAGGCCCCGTGGGGGCCGGCCGCGGCTCCGTTGCTCTTCGGGCGGTCTGCACAAGGCACCGGGGAGAAATGCAGAGGTCTGAGGGAAGGTGTGGGGTTTAGGAGAAATAACAAGCAGTGGACCCCCAAAGCGCAGCCGACAGTGGTGACTGTTGCCTGAAGTACGCCGTTTTTGAAATTAAGTAGATTTAGAGGGCTTTGTTTATAGTGGTTGTCAACCTGCTATGTGTATGTATGAATTAGTATATGTAACCTAAACCCTAAATGAAAAGCGGGAAGTACAAAACAGCCTGAAGATAAAAACTGACCTTCCACTCTGGATGTTTCCAGTGGGTTTCATTTCTGCTGAACTTAAAAGTCAACACTTGAATTTGATGGGACTACTCAAAGAATAAAAATACATGGAGAAAGTGGGGCCCAGTGAGGCAAGGGAGGTGAAATAGTGTGGATAATAAAGACTGCAGGAGAGTGGGGTTCCTAAAACCAAATCTAAACAGGTCGAAGATTCAAAGTGGAAACCATTTCACAGTGGTGTGCTGTGTTTGCAGCTTGTTAGAGCTGATGGGATGGTGGTTGTTATCAGTAGGGCAAGCACATAGCACAAAGTCAATCACTACCTTGATACTTAAAGCTTGTTAATACTCATGAGAGGTATTTTCTACTGCCACTACTGATGCCTGTGTGAAAACTCCTGCTTTGCACTATTTTGCATAATAAAAACTTTGTGTTCCTTAAACAGCCTTAATTTTGGAAATTGAAGTTACAAAGCTTTTTGTTGCGGCTTTGGAAGGTTCTCAGGATTCATATTTGATCAAAAATGTTCAGCTCTGCAGACATGACCTTTTCATTGGATAATTTATTTTTTGAAAGACCAGATACAAAAGAAGGGTAAATACTGTTACATTATTTTCAAAGTTTCTTAGCATTCTGACTCCTTTTACAGGAGAAATTTGTCACTTCCTTCTTCTACCAGCAGGAAGTTGAGAGCAGAAGCTTTTGGGTTCAGAACTTGCACCATGTAATGTTTTTCTAAGTGTGTTGGGTTTGAATGATGTACCTTTCAGCTACATCATTTTTGGAATACATAAAAAGTAAGGACTGGAGGGTGTTTTGCCTTTTATATTAGATGTCTGCTAGTAAGTAGGGAGGGTTTTTTGTTGTTTTTTTGCTTTTTTGTCTGAGTAGGTTTTTTGCTTTTGTCTGAGAAAAGTAGGTTTTTTATGGCAGTTTTGAGCTAGGTGTTTGGCAGGATGCTCAAAGAATGCTTTTACATTCTGTCTGTCTGTTAAACATAGCTATCTAGAAAATGAAGAGCCAAAGATGTGGTATATTGCACCTGCTCCACCTGTTACTGAAATTCCCTCTGCAGAAGAGTTACAGAAGGAACTGGAGAAAAAAACAGTCTACAATCATATGGGTAATGCATTAATTTTGAATTTAAAGTCAAATGTCTTGACAGATAATTCCTCTTCCTATTCTGTGCTGTGAAATACAAAATAAAGCAAATATAAACAAATAATGCCTTTTGATTCAGAATGATGGTTTTACTTATGTTCTGGTTATAGAAAGGATTTGGAATATTAGCAAAGCTTCTTTGCTGAGTATATGCAGGCTACAAGTCAATTATGGAGAAGCAGATCAGGTATAAGAATCATGATCAAATTTTCCGTTGCACTGTATTGGTGTTTTGATGCTGTATAGAGCAGTTTTAAGAGTGTGGCAGCACATTGGCCTCATGACCCATCCCGCAACCAAGAAATAAGAGTTTATATGAAACTAACCATCTTCTTGCTTCAGGCTTTTTTTCAAACCGGTCTTCAGGAGGCAAAATTTGGAGCCTGGCCAGTGATTGATGATAAGATTCTTTCCATCTAGACATTCAGTATCGCTTTGAGAAAACTACTTTAAAGGAATTACTTTGCTTTATCAGTAGCAAGTAGATTTGTACATTTCTTAGATGCTGTGCTGATTTATGATATTCTCTAGGAATTTTGGTATTAAGATTTTTTTATTATTATTTCATATGCAAGAGCAATACAATTAAGGACTATTCATTCAGATGAGCCTTCTTGTGTTTGTAGAACTGTTAAGTATGTGTCAGAAATTAGCCATTGTATTTTTTAGTTTTCCAGGTATGTACTATTGAAATTAGAGGATGGCGACAAAGGTTGGGCTAGATGATCTCTAAAGGTCCCTTCCAACCTTAAGGATTCTATGATTCTATGAAACGGTTCTAATTTTATTCATGAATTTCATGCATACTCTTAATTTTTTAGGATATGGTTAAATGCTGAGCAAATCTAAGAAAAGGCTGGTGGATGGAGATATTTTTTCGTCTTACTGCATCCAACTACTTGTTACTACCATTACTTGTATGTTGCTGACAGGGATGCTTGTTTGGGCAGCAGGTACTTGTTTGGTACATTGATCCTGCTGAGAATAACCCTGCAAAACACCATAATTAGCTAAGTTCATCAGGAAACCAGAGCATTTCAATTTTACAAGTCTTTAGGCTTAACGTGGAGGATATGTCTAGAAGTCAGTAATTTTCATGTACTTTTTAGTTTTAAGGAACATACTTGTCTGCTTTGTGTAGCAAGCATAGAAACTCATCCTGTTTTTCTGATTTTTAATAGTATACTTCGTCACATGTATCAGCCTAAGTCACAAAATATACAGCAAAGTTTTTGCAATATGGTAAGAGTATCAGTTCATATAACATTTGTGAACTTGGTTTCTTTTATGTGGAAGTTACTTAATAAAATTACTATGAATGGGAATGTGGGTTATTAATAGGATTTTTTTCTTTTGTAGGAGAGATGCAGCACAAGAAGTCTATGCAACAGTGCAAGAGAAATACTGAGGAAGTAAATGAGAAATCACAAGCACCTGTTCTCTGTGATATAGCTTCTAAAAGAGAAGTATTCCAGTTAAGTTTAGGAGAAAGGAATAAAACTGATTTTCAGTGTGAAAATCTGAAAATGGTTTCATCATTTCTCTCTTCTGATGAAGATAAAGATAAAAAGGGAATTGGGGCTTATCAGCAACCTAGTGCAAATATTTCACAAAATAAAATATTAATTAATTTTCCAGACAACAGTGATGATGAGAGTATCCATTCAGCATTAAGGAAAAGGTATGTTTCTAGTCAACTCTAGTAATAAATCTACTGTTGGATTCATATTGTTGTTCCAGGTGTACTTGTCAAATGCAGAGTTACTTTTAAAAGAGTTCAGGCACTCTTTTTTTTGACAGTAAGGAGAAAAATAAATTTTCTTCTGACAGTCTTTTAGTACCGTGACTGTATGTGTCCAGAACTCGGCCTGTTTTACAAGAAAGGTAAGGAAATGTAGATTTGATTAATTTTTAAAAAACTATGAGATAACAATGGTTCTTTGAAATACTGTTTTCAATTCTCCATCCACTTCGTGAAGAGCAAGAAAAGTAAGGTTGCTTCCTTCCCAGAGGTGAAAAGGTAGCCCAGAATGATTTCAGTGCTGTCTGGGAGGAGGAGTTTTACAGATAAACTCATCTCTGTGTCCTGCTCTTTCCAGTCCTCGGAAGCTGTGTACCTCTGTACTTCTTAATTACACAGAGACTGACAGTTGATCTGCTCTGGGAATTGAGAGCCCATCTGTACAGGCTGGTTGTTTTTTCAGCCCTGGAATGAAAGTAAAACTAAAACTTATTTTGAAGTTTTCTTCAGGTAGAAGAATGTCCCTTGAAGCAAATAAAATCAAATCCAGACTTCTTCTATGACTATATCTTAATAGTTTTGCTTCTGATATACGCACACATATATTTCAAATATTAGAGAAACCGAATAATACTTAATAAATTAACGATTCTATGTCTTTTGCAGATTATTTAAAATACCTGATTTTAAGGATAGTTCCATTGATACAAAAGAAATTGTTACTTATTTGAAAACAAGTGAAAACATGAGACACATGAAAAAAGAAGACTTACTGAGACATAATCATCATATTCCAGTAACAAAGGACTCTGATTTTACCCTATGTAGCATAAGCGATGGGGACTTCGCTCCTAAAAGTAGAATTAACATAAAATCATTTTCTGGTGTTTCAAAGATTCTGGATATGAAAGGTAACTGTTGTTACTCACTTTGATACCGATAGCCCACTGTTTTACTTTGGTGTGAAATAATAATGGATATTCATGATCTGATGTAAAGAATAGTTTCAGAATTAGATAATTGGCTACATTAGACTGATGGTATTACAGTTGTAAAGAATTTATTTTGTGTTAATATATGCTGAGTTGGGTGAAGAATTTATGAAGACAAAGTCACATTTTTAGAAGTGCATTAGGAGTCAGTGGATGTTGCGCTTTAAGTCCTGTGGGCCTTTTTGAAAACGTCACTCCAAATCTGTCCTCGAGTATTTGAAAAGTAACAGCATGGTCCCTTGATGTGGTAAGTATTCTCGTCTTCAACTGAAATCGTGAATTGAAAATTGAATGTGTGGCTAACACTCATAACTTTTTAGAACTAGATTTTTAGATAGGAAAAATCTGGAAAGTGGAGAAAAGCAGTGAGAATTTAGTGGAAAGAATAAAGCAATTGCTTTAGAAAATGTTTTTAATAGTATTTATATATATATATATACATATTTCTAGATGCTAAGCTTTTGGGGACAGGGATTTATTGCATCTGTGGAGTGTGCCAAGCGTATGAGGATAAGTGCTACAGAAACAGATTAGAAAAATAGTACTCAAAATTGTAAGTCAAAGGAACCAGTCAATACACTTAACGAGCTGGACTGCCCTTCAAAAGGGAGGTAGTGATGTTGGAGGAAGGGGTTCACAGGAACCTCATGAAATTCAGAAGTGAGTTGTGTTTTTTTTCTCTCTTTAGAAACTGCAGAAAGAAATTTGGAAATTTTGAGGGCTGTTACAGAAATCCGTATCCTTTTATTTGCTGTATCTGATTTCATTATAGCCCGTTTACAAAATGCTGTCATTTTATATGTAGCCACAAGAACTCATACATTTCAGTGTAACAGTTTTAATTTGTAATGCAATATCAGGAAATATTCTTTTCCTTCTGTTCATTTTCAGATAGGAATATTTTTATTTGGAAAACAATTGAAAGTATTTTTAAACCGCTGTTAGGATTAAGAGACTGTAACCTCTCTTGCCTTCTCTCTGCCTCTCAGCATACAATGAAAAGTTAATTTATTTGTGTTATATTATGAATGTAGTGTGCTGTGCAATGGCTTAAGTATGTTAAAACAGTGCTCTGCTGACTCTTGTATCTGTTTTGTGGTGTAAAAATGTCCGTCTCTTCCATGACCATATTCCATTTCGTATAGTCTGTTAAAAGAGGAGCTGTTCTCCATGTCAGTTCTTGGTATATTTTGAGATATCTCTTTGGCTATTTGAGGTAGTGTTTTTGTTTGTGGAATATGTGTCAAACCGAGAATATAAATAACAATACAAAATCATTTAATAAGTTACTTTTTGCTAATTGTTCTGGTAAGTCTGTATCAGTTAAATCATAGCATGTTTAAAGTATTTCTTTAAATTACATAAAGAGTACATTCCCTGTAACATGAATAAATGTAACGAAAGTGAAAATTGTACATTTTATAGTTTTAAAACAGATTTTAGAATTTTCAGTAAGTTGTTTTCAGATCCTTAACGTGCTTTCAAGCGACCCAGTTTAGAAGTATTTTTAAGGAGTTTCCTTATTTTAACTACGTGCAGTCTAAAGCACTGGATGATGTAAGTACAGAATGTTAGCTACAGCTGCAAGTAGGCATTTATAGATTAATGCACAGCAAAAATTAAGCACTTCAGTATTCAGAACTTAGAGGTTAGAAAGCTGCAATATTTCTCAGATATATATCAGGTGAGCAGATGCGAAGGCTTGTGTTCATGAGGGAGACCAGAAGAACTTTTTTAAAAAAACATTTTTGTTAATTTTAAATATATTTATGTGATATGTTAATTATAAGTATGCTTACATATGCAGATTCAAATGATTTTCCTAGAGAGGAAAATTATTGAAAAAAATTTAGAGGAGGCCACCCTTTACGGAAAGGTGGTTAATTTTCCATTTTGAGTTACACAGCTTGCTGCCAGTAAATAAACTTTGTTGACTGATACTGCTGTTGATAATTATTATCTGAAAAATAACAGACCTTTCTATTGTAACTTCCATGAAAGTAAGCCTTGCTATTAGTTGTGTTGTCACTGGGGGCAGTAGTTTAAAAAAAATGTTTTGAGTGGTTAATGAATTAATACCTCTAAATATAAAGTTGTTTGCAGAGTATCAGAAGAGAAATGTTTGCATATCATGTATATGAAAAGTCACATTAGAAAGGTTAAGAAAGATCAGCATATTAAAAAGATAATGACCTTGTGTATTTTAATTGTTTGAGTTTGCAGGATTCAGTTTGGTAGCACTCTCTGGTTATAAAAAATATGGTGCAAGTATTCAACTTGGTGGTATTTCTATGGTTGATGGACTGTGAATGGTGCATATGAGTATTTAATAAAAAAAAGAGCAAGAAATATTCTGTATTTGTTCTTTATTGATTTGTGTGAGCATTGGAAAGCTGGAAGTGGTAGACAGTTAACAGTAAGTAACAGACTGGTAACAGTTTTAGAGCATTAACTCTAGAAGAGAAAGAAACAAAGAATAAGAATAGTAAAATCCATGGGGAATTGGGAGGGAAGGATGCAAATGAAGGTGCACAGAGAGTATGTTGCATGAATGGATGCATGAATGCCACTGAGGAGGGGAGACCAGTGTACGAGGCGGGAGGAAAGAAGAGTCATACAAAATGGACATTCATAATTATTTTAAAACTTAACATTGTATTAGTATCTTCAGCAAGTTGGAATTTGGATGCAGATTTGATTACAGAAGGAAAACCCTTAAATTTCATTAAGCACAAAATTAGTGTCTCAAATGTGAGCGTACATTTGGTTGTAGTTGGGTACTGTTGCTTATTCTGCATTAATGTAATGTGAGCCTAGATGCTCTAGATTTACTCTTTATCTGAAGCTATTAAGCAATATTTCTTCATTTATTTTCTTGGCAGATGTGCATAAAAACCATAATTTCTTTAGCTATTATGTAAAGTTTGCATCTAATGCAAGGTACTTTAGAGAACTACATCCGTCTGTATAATAAGCATTTTCTTTACGTCTTTTTACCCTCAGACAATTCTTTTGGAATGCATGAACAGTTATAAGGGATAGATGCATTTTATTTACTACTTTTAATTCTTTCCAAGCTTCTTTATACAGATAGAAATTTTGTGATTTGTGCTCCAACTGGCTCTGGAAAAACTGTAATGTTTGAGCTAGCTATTACCAGATTACTAATGGAAACCCCAATGCCTTGGTTAAATACTAAAATTGTATACAGTAAGTATTATTCGACTTTAAACATTTTAGTGACAACAGTAGAAAATGTCATTCTAAGTGCTAAAATGAAGAGTACTTTAATGGTATGAGCTATGTTGAGAAATTGAGGCTTCATTTTTAAATAAAGGATGTTTCTTTTAGGGTTTGTTTATTTTCATTGCTATAATAGCTATTATTAGTATTTAACAGTATTACATAATTGCCACTGTTTCCTGTACAAATAGAGAATTCTTCTTATAAAGAGTTCTTGTCCTCTAAGAAGGCAAGATGTATATTATGGAAGGAAGAGGGAAACAAAGGAAATTATCCCCTGTTCTTGGGGCAGAGCCTAAAAACAAGCAGTATCTTTATGCCCATCTGTTGCTCTGAGAAGACGATGTATTTTTCTACCTGACAAGGTTTCATATTAACAATTGCTTTCATACACTAGCACAAAGGCAGTAGAGGACTTGGTGGCTGAGATTTAGAGAGTGAGTCTTCGTTTCTTCTGCCCCTGTTGCTAGCCAAAGAGGTTATTTTGGCAATTTTGCGTTTACTTCCTTGTAGCTTAGTTTTCTGCAGTTGTGTAGGTCACCGATAGGCTTACAAGGTTCTATGCTTCCTGTTGAAGCAGAAAGCAATTCTCCTAAGCCTTTTTGTGTTAGGGCTCCCTTGTCAGCTGATGTCAGTTGATGTGCCAGTGATCTTTAGCTAGCCTAGAACACAATCACTGCACAACCAATTTTATTGCTGTTATTTTTGGATAATAGATGAATCACTTCTTTCAGGTGAATCACTGCATGTTCTTTAGAGATACCCATCTGATTTAGATTTACATCTGTTGCTAATGTCAGTGCTTCTAGAGAGTTATTTCTGATTTCTAGAAATCAACCTGTGTCTGAAAATTATAGTATGCGTCCTTTCAGGCAAAACAAACAACAACAAAAAAAGAGGCAAGCTTATTTTAAGAGCCTCTTCATGAATACCAGTGTCAGAACTGCTGCTTGTAGTGGTAGCTTCTCTGTATGGCAGTGACTACATTTCACTGTGCATTTATTTGTAAATAGACTTCGTTTTCCTCTGCAATCCTACTTCCTGTTGACAGGTGGCTCCTTGTTTATAAGTCCCTTTGTCTCTCAGTACAGAGTGCTCAAAGAATTTGTAATCTGAACTGGAGTGAGGCCGACATTTGTATGATCCCTTCTTAGAAAGGTCGTCTTCCCTGTGGTTTCTTGTGTCTGTAAGAAAACCTTTATCAGTGTCTGATAGCCAAGTGACTGTTTTCATGTGGAATTTAGAGAGGAGAGAAAAAAAGGATTATGAGGGAGCATAAATATCTTTAATTCAAAGGCTCTGTTGTCAGTTGCTATGAACTGTACCTGTAACCCAGAGCTCAAAACTGATCTATGAGTAAGAGACGAGTAATAAGCCAATTCTGAATTTTATAGTTTTAGGAGCAAAACTGAAAATAGAAGAAGTAAATTCTAGAAAATGTCTTCAAAATATATGCATTTAGCATTTTTAGAAATGTAATTGAAATTTGCTTTTATTGCTATAACTCTTACAATGTTTTGCTATTTTTAGTGGCTCCAATAAAAGCTTTATGCAGTCAGCGTTTTGATGACTGGAAAGAAAAATTTGGACCCATAGGACTCAACTGCAAGGAACTGACAGGAGATACAGAGATGGATGATCTATTTGAAATACAGCATGCTCACATTATTATAACTACACCTGTAGGTTTCAATCCTAATTCTTAAAAAAAATCAAGATTAAACAGACATTAGTAGTCTAGAAATTGTGTGCTACTGGGGCTGCCCCTTTTATGTCATGATGAGTGAATTTCATAGTAATATGCGTGCATAACCAACAATTAGCAATATAATAATGTGCCAGATAAGCCATAAATGGCATTATCTTGAATTCATTAAACTGTTTTTAGTGAAAGAGGCTAGTCATGTGTAGACATGTCTCCTTGTGCTCTTGACTTTGGCGTGAGTTGGCCTTTGTAAATGTCTTTCTACTTTTGTCTTTTTTTTCCCCCTAGGAGAAATGGGATAGCATGACTAGAAGATGGAGAGACAACTCTATAGTGCAGCTTGTGCGACTGTTCCTCATTGATGAGGTAAGAAAATTAGTGATTTTTATGGACTCCTTTTTTCTTGAAGAGTGAAAGAAACCTCTTGAAAGAGTGAAAGAAACCTGTAAGTGCGTAAGATACATTTAACAAATGGTAACAAAATGATACCAAAATAAATACTTTGCAAATGTTTTAAAATTCTTAATAGGTGCACATTCTGAAGGATGAAAGTCGTGGCGCAACACTAGAAGTTGTTGTCAGTCGGATGAAGACTGTTCAGTCTTCTCTTTTGCGTCTTTCAGAGAGTCATGACACTGTTTCTTCCTTGAGATTTGTAGCAGTTTCTGCAACAATTCCAAATGCTGAAGATGTAAGTCGAATTTTAACTGTATTTCAGTTATTATAGTTATATTTTATAAAATTGACTTGGAATTCTGAATTGAGATTGATAGTTAATAAAGTTTTAATTTTGGAGCTGTCCGTGCCTGGAGTTGTCATTTTGGAGCTGTCAATATCAGCTGTGACTGATATTAATATTACAAATGACCTACGATCCTATAGAGCTCTCAGCCAAGTATGGACATGCTTAGTAGACCTCTGTGTGTGATTTTTGTCTCTAAGTATAAATCTCAACAGGCTGAGGTTTCAATCTGAATTGATCCTGTAGAAAGTGGAACTCTACCTGTGATTTTAATGATAAAATGAATCTGAAATGCATTAGTAATTTGTGTATGACAAAACTAAGTTAATCATTATGTGAGTACAGTTAGAGTGAAACATGCTTAAAAGGAGAAATGTATCATTTAAATTCTGCTCTCTTTTCAAGATCGCAGAATGGCTTTCAGATGGTAAGATGCCTGCTGTATGTCTAAAAATAGATGAAGATCACCGACCTGTGAAGCTACGCAAAGTTGTGCTTGGTTTTCCATGCAGTGACAGTCAGACAGAATTCAAGTTTGACTTAACTCTTAACTACAAGATAACTAGTGTTATACAGACATATGCTGAACAAAAACCAGCACTTGTGGTACAATAGCTTTTTTTTTAATCACATTTAAAAATATTTGTTCTTTAAAACAAAAATATTAAAAAATATTTTCTTATTTATAGTTTTGTGCAACAAGAAAAGGAGTTCAACAGGCTGCTTCTGTTCTTGCAAAAGATGCTAAATTTCTATTGAGTATAGAACAGAAACAAAGGTATTTCATATATAAGTTAAGTGTTCAGCTGTTCTACTAACCCTGCTAGTACAGTTTCTAGCAGAGGAGTGTCTGCAGCAAAGTCATCATCACAATTGACATTCTTTATGATAATGCTAAACACTCTAGGAGAATTTTATTTGTTTCTCAGATTTTTATGGTACCTTTCATAAACATAAAGTTGTTTTAAAAACCTTCTTCCTAAACAATAAAGTTACTGTTTTCCGTTGACTTCTCAATATGTTGCCCTGCAAAGGTTAAGCATGTGAATACTGCCATAGGATGTGGTCTTACTTGTGTGTGAAGTTAAGCACATGAAAAACCTTTTTAATATCGCAGATGGCCATGTCTGTACTATCTGCTTTCTGTTTCAGGGTTGTCCAGACTTAGGAGCTGCAGAAGCCCCTTCCTGATTTTGGGCTTTGACCGTGTTTCCCTTTGCCTTACGCTAACAAAACATCTTCATTGTTTTCCTAGATTCTGCTCTTTTTTTTTTTTTTTTTGGTCCCTTTTTTTTTTTTCCTGACATTTGTCAGAGCAGTACCTATCTGTTTTCATCTTCTGCATTTGATTGAGAGAGCAGGATTGTAATTCGAGAGATGACTGGGCTGTAAAGGCTGCAGCAGCTGCCGCAGAGAATCAGTTTGTTTCCCTTTGGCAAGCTAGGAGAGGAGGCAGTTGGAGTTATTCAAAGCCTGTGTATTTCAAAAGTGTTTTATGATGTCCTTTTGGTATTCTAAGATGTAGTTATAAACCAAGTACATATTTAATAGCACAAATGCAGTAGAGCTATATAAGAGGATATGGGAGAAACAAATGTCAAGGAATGCTTCTTAGAATCTTTAATAGGGTAATTGCGCATCTAGTTTCACGGCAAGCCTTATTTTTGCATTTTGGAAACATGTAAGCTCTTTTACATTTTCTGTTTACATTAGTGAATCTATTTGAGGATTTTAAAGATCTATTGTTGTTATTTTTTCATGTTCCATAGATTACAGAGGTCTGCAAATTCATTGAAAGATGCCAAACTAAGAGGTAAATATAAACTAAGAGGTTTCAGATCTGTGAATGAATATCTCCTTGAGTAAACTTAATAAAATAATGGATATACTTATTTCATTATCAGATCTTTTGATGTATGGTGTGGCTTATCATCATGCGGGTATGGAGCTATCTGACAGAAAAATAATTGAAGGAACTTTTACTGTAGGAGACTTACCAGTGCTCTGTAAGTATATTTAACATTGAAAGTCAAAATGATATTAATGTGGCTTGAGAAGATGGATGTTTGGATGTGGTAATGTTTCTGATTCTATCATTTATGGTTAGCCTTTGGAATTGCTTTGTGAAATCCAGAATGGTAAATATCTTTTATGATTCCCATGTATTTTATACTGTGAGACAGTATGTACCCTGTTACTAAGGTCCACTTTTCTTTTTTTCAGCGTAAATAGAGGTCACTCTCCCTCATATGTTCTTGCAAGGTTGGCCGTGTTCATAACCCTTTAGCATGGCTGTGCCAGTGTATTGGAGTGCTCTGTTACTGCCACTTCTCTCCCTTATCACAAGATGTTTTCCTTGGTTCCGTCTTTTGCAGTGTGGCTTCCTTGAAAGTAATCTTCTGCAGGCAGGATTTCATCTTCAAGCTCCCATGCAAAGTGTGTTGACAGACTCGTAATCTGCTCCATCTCTTAATCTGTTCCATCTGCTGTTACCTGGAATGAGAAAGTGTCTGCTTGAGACATGGTGGGCTTTCCAGGCTTTTCCAGGCTTTCCCTTTTTCCTATACAAGTTCAGACCCTTTGGAGAACTGCTTGGTTAGTTCATGTAAAAGATTGGAAGATTCCTGAGTTTTTCATTTCTGTACCGTGATTGTCCTGACTAGATTTGAATTATTAAGGTAGATCCACTTACTATGATGATGGCGTATCTTGCCAGAGCTTCAGTCTCCATGATGCCATTGAAAAATTGTCACCCCGGCCACTTACTGTACTTTGACTGCCTGGAGTCCTGGATTTAAGCAATTCTGCAATTGTTATTTGCAAAAAGACTTTGATACCTTATGCTAGAGCTGAAGTCATTTGAGATAAGTAGTTCCTATTAATGTTTCAGCCATCTGAGATGCTAGAATTATATTCCTGCAGCTAAGAGAAAAGTGAAAGGGCACTAATCTGTCTATGGGCATGAAAGGGGTAGGATTTGAACACAACTTTTGCAAAGGGGAAGAATTCTTTGGTCTTCAAAATAGCATGTACACACTTGCAGTTTAAATAGATGCATGGACTTTGCATCTCTAAGACCGTATCGCACTGGTAAGTACCTTTTTCCAGCAACTTTTCATATGGTTGGATCATCTTGCTTTGATAAATAGTTGCAGCTTGTCTACTGTCACAATAGGAAAAACAGTAGTTCTCTTGAGATTGTATAGTTATGACTTTAATTTAAGTTGGATTCTTCTTTTCCGATGTACCTGAACTGATTAATGTAAGTTTTTGTTTCAAGAAATGGAACAAAGAAACAGTTTTATCAATTCACCTGTATATTGGCTTTCCCTTTTCAGTACCTAGCACTCATACGTTTTAAAAATGTGAGAAAGAAATTGCACATGAACAAATTGGAATGGCCTTTTCCTGTTGAGGTTGTGTCTTGTTAAAGTATTTTGATAGTAAGGGTGATGGTTCTGGTTTGGTACCTTGGGTGTAAACAATGCTCATAATTAATGATTTGGGGAAAAAAAATTAAGGATACCGTTCATTTCAAAGCAAGATAAGTCCATGACTGTATTCAGTTTTTCTATCAAGGAAGATGTATGAATAAATGTTCCTTCAGTGTGTGGTTTAGAATGAAGATGAATTGGATCCTGGATTACCTGCAAAAGTTAAGAAATGTTTAATTAAAATATCTGTGATGTTTTTGATTTTTCTTAAAGAATATACTATATAGTGAAGTATATTACTTGAAATATATACTATTATAGTATATACTAAAAGTCGCTAAAAGTATGTACTATAATCAGATATACTGAAATTATTGAGTAAATTCTATGTCTAATTCTGTGTAGTAAAAAATGCCCTTAATTCCCACTGACTTTGTTGAAAAATAAGAGCTCTTAACAGCAAACAAGTGATAAGTATTCATTGCTATTTAAAATGTTGGTGGTAGGAAGACATTTTCATGTTGTTCATCTTGAAATCAATATATTTTAATTGATGTAGTTACTACGAGTACCTTAGCTATGGGAGTCAATCTGCCTGCACACCTGGTGGTAATAAAGTCCACAATGCACTACGCTGGAGGAATGTTCCAGGAGTACAGTGAAACGGATATTCTGCAGATGATTGGGAGAGCAGGAAGGCCTCAAGTAGGTTAATTCTCTCAGGTCTGTAGAATCGTGACTAAGAAATAGCAGTACCAACCACTTTATTGCAGCATTTCTTTTTACAGTTTTGTTGTTTATGGTTAAATTAGTATTGGGTAATACTGTGTTCAAGAAAGAAATCTGTTTGCTTTTGCATTGTCATTTGAAACATACTGTTTCACCCAACTGTGGAAAAAAATAAAAGATGATGTTTGCACAGCTTAAGGAATAGGGATTGGAGAAAAGGCAGGAAGCTAACACACAAGTTATAAATTGTGTGGTAGAAGTTTATGGATTGCTGAAGGAAATTGAGAGGGATCAATGTATTTTTGTTCTCCCAATATCCAAACAAGAAAACATCTAATTAAATTAGAAGCAGGGAGTTCAAAACTACTACCTTAAGGTAAAAATCCTTTCACTTCCATGAGAGATTATTTTCCCTTTTAGAAATCAGGATGAAGTCTGTTACAGAGGACAGATTACCCTACATCCCTTTCCTGAGCCTGCATACAATGGGCACTGTGTTATGTTGGGTACAAAACAGGGTTTAATTGAAGGATCAGGATTCAGACTAGTAGGGAAACTCATATACTCCTAAATTTGCTAGATGATGTTCTTGCTAGAGAATGTAATTCAGCAAGAGTCTTTAAGTTGTTACTCAGATTCTTTAGTTTAAACAGCATGAAGTAGGTTTAATCAGTTTTAGTCGTTCAAGCAGAAGCTTCTTGCAGCTTTTTTTTTTCTTTTTTTTCAGTTTGACACCACAGCTACAGCAGTTATCATGACTCGTTTGAGTACAAGGGATAAGTATATACAGATGTTAAGTGGTGCTGATATAATAGAGAGCAGGTAACTAAACAGTTTTTCTAAGTGCACTATATTGAAGATAGGAATAGTTCATAATTTCCACACAATCTAATTTGGAGATTTTTTTGCTCTGTTTTGAAGAAATTTAAGAGTCAGAGGAAAAACAAATCAAGCTCTTCAGAACTAACAGCTGTTTTATCAGATCAGCAGCAAGTCAGAGACTATTAAATAAGAGAAACAGAAAATTTACATATCTGTATTTACATATGCACACATTTGCATATCTATACAATTTACAATAATGGAGCCACAACAGCCTCCCTAAAAATTCATTTTTAAAGAACAAATTTTACTTGATACATGAAAGGAACAAAAATAGGAACTTACTCATCTGTAGGACATGCACATAGCAGAAAGAGGAAAAGATGGCTTATAGCTGAAGCTGTGCAGTTTTCAACATACTTTCCTATCCTTATTTTACCATATAAAATGTGTGGAGTAGTAAACCTTTAAGATTTGCATTAGCACCTCCAGTGGTGAGAGAGAGGAAAGAGAATGCAACTTAAAGGAAGCAAAATTTGGGAGCCCAGCGGGGAATATAACTGTATGTTGCCCATATAGTGATGGAAAGTGGGAAAAAAAACCTTTATACATGAGCAATCATTGAAGATAAAATGAAAAGAGATTAAAGGTACCACGTTAGTTCTGGGTGGATGAAGTATTAGTACATGGTAGTAGCCAATAATACACTATCAGTCTGTTCATTTACAGTATTTTGAGAAATAAAGTTGGGATTTAGAGTATTCCCATGATACTGCAGAAATATTAAAATTCAGTGAAGAGATGAGCTGTCTCATATCTGCTTCAGTTCATCAGAGATGAACTGAAGTTTGGAAAATATCAGGCTACAGCATTCTCTTACTGTAAAGTGTTGAAAGAGTCAAGTATATAGGAAAATAAAGATGTTAAAGAGTAAACCAGGCAATTTATGTCATGTAGTCTGGTTATGGCTTATTTTTTCATATATATTCAACATTGTTAGTAAATGTACAAAGCTTTGTTTTCTGAATAATCATGTAACTGCACAACTGAATTATTTTCAATTGCTGTACATTAGTCATAAATTACATTTTAATTATTTGATTATTCACTTTTTCATTGATTCACTGATTAAGCAGTTGCTTTCCAAAATAGTTTTAGCACTTTTTCTATTAATAATTGATAAATGTACTTAAAGTTTGTTTGTTTTCTTGCTAGCTTGCACAGGCATCTTGTTGAGCATTTAAATGCAGAAATAGTGCTGCATACCATCACAGATGTCACTGTAGCTTTGGAATGGATACGGTCAACATTTTTATACATTCGAGCTTTAAAAAATCCGACTCATTATGGTTTGTTGCTTTCAAATTGATCTTAAATATGACACTAGGCTATAGTTGGCTATTTTAGATCCACTTTGTTTCTTTTGTTCTAATGGAGTAATATTTCATTAGGGGGTTGAAGGTAATGTCTAATGTGACCTGCAACATGTTAAGGAAAAATAATTCCAATTGCATTAACATAAGCACTGAATGTTTCAGCATGATACAACTTTTAAAACATGAAGAAAGCACTTACAGCTTCATAATTATCTGTTTCTTTCAATGTTAATACACTGGGCCTTGTATGGATGCAATATCAAGCCAGAATGTCATTTCCAGCACTGAATATCTGCAGCCGAAAAAGAACTTTTGTTTAACACTGCATGTTTTTGCTGAAACAAAATAATAATCTAACACTGGGGTCTCCAACTCAGAACAGCATTTTAGTCCCTAACGTTGATCATATGTTTGTCACTGGCCCTTTGCCTTGGACATGGACGATGAAGTCACGTGTCCCCAGTTGGGTTTCACAGTTTTATGCGTGGGGCTGGGACATACCACAGCTAGTACTTGAATAGATTTTACTGATCAGAAAGTCTCCAATATTCTAAAATAGAGAAAGAAATACATAACATTTCGCAATTTTCTTCATATTTAGCTTTGAAAATAATACATATTTATCAACATTTTGCCAACATTTCCACAATTCTTAGGATTCTGATATGTTATATAGGACAGCATCTGTAGCTTTGATTTTTGCACATCTGTTCTAATAAGCACTTACAGTCTGCTAATATATTTGCACTGTGTAAGGCTCTGGATTTGTTCCCAGAATACTAAATGTTTACAAATATTTCACTTTTGGTTATCTGTCTGGCTCCTAAATTAGTAAATAAGTTTGATAGATTATGATATTGAGGATGAAGTGTGTAACTGTATTACATTAAGAAAATACTTGTCTTTTCTCGAAGGTTTTTCATCTGGATTGGATAAAACGGGAATTGAAGCAAAATTACAAGGTCAGTGACTTCGGAGCTTTTTTGCTAAAATGTTACATTTTAGGCTAGATTCCTTCATGGTTTTTCATGTTATGTGTCTCCATTCATTTCAATAGATCTGTTCACAGAAAATGTAATGTAATGTGTTGCTCTAGTGATTTTGTTTAATTATTACTGCATACTTTTGAAACACTATTTTTGTGTTTTGACTGGTATAGAAGTACTTGCCCTATAAAGCGGAGGGGAAAAAATGCCTCTACCTCATTTCTCTATGCATAGTCAGAAATAAACCTAGCACACAGATCACTTTAGTTCTGCATGCATGTCATTCTTGCTAATTGTCCTTCCATTGTTGTTACCCCATTTGCTTTCACTAATTTCTGTTTACTTTCAAAAAGCCCTGTTTCAGAAATGTTCATGTCTCTCTCATAAATTTAACCTTGAAAAAAAAGATGGAAAACTTATGCTGAAATAATTTTAGCTTATTCTGTCACAGTTTAAAATTGCATGATTATAACATGTTAGACAACAATAATCATCATCAGATGTAGATAGAGAACGCACAGCTCTTAAGTAATCAATATGTCCACATCCATCATTCACAAATGCATAAGCACTATGAAAAAGCACTCATAGAGAAGTCCAGGGTGTGGAAGGTCATGTTCAGTGATGGATTCAGTAAAGTGAAGAATTGGAACAGTTTAAGTTTCTTTTCGGTAAGTCACAGTCCTCATGTATGTATGTATGGTTTCACTACAGACTTCTGGATTGGTTTGATAGGAGAATTCCATTTCTTCAGAGCATGGCATCTTCCACTGGCAAGATACCTTATTATAGTATATTGGTTGCACATTACCTGAAATTGGCACTTCAGGCATGAACTACTCACCTGCTTAGGTGTGTGGAGGGAAGACCTGCAGTATTTTGGACATTTCTATGCATAAAGTATTCCATAGGATTTAAAGTCATATCTCAGATGTACTGGCTTAGTAGATTCTCTTAAGAATTATTTGCTATGTTAATTCAAACTTAGTTTTAAATGTCGTAAATGAATAGCAAATACATAATACAATAACAAAGGATTAAAAGGATGTGTTGAAGTAATCAAAAGAGATTGTATCTGCACCTCAGATGAATAACAATGTGAGAATGAAGCTTCCAACTTTATTAATAGTGAAAAAACAACTGTGTTTAGAAGTACTGTGTCTTTTTCTATTACACTGTAAAAAATGATTTTTTTTGACTAGGGTTTGAATAAAACAGTCTTTTCTTTGTAATATGATTTTTTAAAATTAAATAAAATCCTGTCCGAAAACATACAACTGATTAAATAGTTTGAGATCAGTGCCTCTCATCTTCCAATATGAAAATAGTATACGAAACTCTTTTTTTATCTAAGTTATATATAAAATCCAAACCAAATTGTAGTCCAAAATAAAACACTTGCTAAGATTTCAACTGGATTTCTACAAAACTGAAAATGCAGTTTTTTGTCTTCAGTGAGAGACCTTATGTCCATCCTATTTTTGTACATCTTTGTAATAGACCATTTGGAGCTTAAAAATCAGAAGGGATCGTGATGTATGAAAGCATATTATGGATTGAGCTGTACTCTGAAATTTGTAGAGCCATTGCTTGGTTTCCAGTTATACATTTACCGATATTTACACAAAATTTACAACATGGTGAAAAAAAATGTAGAAGCACCTATGGCTAGTGTAGGGCTTGGTAGAGCTATTGCTGAAGTTGTTTTGCATAAGGGATAAAAGGACCCAGCTCAAGATAGACCTCTACTGTATGCAGTGCTGCTTGAGATCTCCAGATGTAAGACACAAAGACTCTAACTTACATTTAAAAAAAAAAAAAGGTCATTTATCAGTAAGCAAAGAAATTTAGTTGATGTGCTCTATTTTTTTTTTTTCATTTCAATCTCCTTTAGATCAGGACATTTTTATTTTGGAATGTAGGTTGAAAGGAATGGAGGGAGTAAAGCATGTTCTGACCTAAATAAGCTTGTATGGGTTAAGGCATGGAAAGCTTCATTTCCAAATGCTTTTAGGTGTAGGCTCTTAAGTTCTCCGATTTTATAAGCAACCTCTTTTTGAAGCTCTTATAGAAACTGTAGCTCACTTCCGCAGCACACGATATATTGTGTAGTAATATATATTGTTCATTATACTTTCCTACATTGCATTTGTGATGTGGATGATTTCTGGTTGCTATGGGAACTATCACTTTGAGTGCTTTGGAAACTTAGATTTAAATTCTTAACATTGTATTAATGTCACTTTCGCCTTTCAATTTCCTTGGTTTTGAAAAAGATAAAAACAAACAAAACACTTTGATCATCCTCATGCAGGTAAGCAACACCAGCAGGTAAATAGGCTTACTGAAGCAAACACAAATGCAATTGCTACAGTGTGAAAATACCCAATGAAGGATTCATAGATGCCCATGTGGATACCTGGATTCATGGATATTTGAAATTTCAACTATTTCAGTGTTAAGACTTTACTATAAATCTTTTGTATAAATACTGCAAGTTCTTAGAATTTAAGTCAGCAGCATGGTTCTTGCATATAGTTTCTCTTACTTTGTAATACTTATATTAATACTTCTATTCTATGACCTTTGTTTGAATTCAGTGAAATTGTTCTGGTATATGTTCATTGCAGTTAGATAATGTTGTACCTGGGTTGAATGCACTGAAAATACTTTTTTTTTTTTTTTTTAATTGTGGACAGAATTGTGTTTGAAGAACTTAAATGATTTATCATCTTTTGATTTGATCAGGATGGATAAAGCAAATAATTTCACATCAACAGGTAATTTTTTTTTCAATAATCTAGTTTTCAGAAGTGATGTTGAGATAGCAGTGAACTGCAAAGGGCCACAGTTCTTGTGAACCACTAATGACAATACACAGGTGTAGCAGAGGGCATAATCTGAACAACAGTGGGCCTAGAATATATGGTGAAGCTAATTTAACGAATCAGGAAAGATTTTTTTCTTTTAACCTTGATCACTGTTTAGATCTCATTTTTTGATGTTGCTAGAAATTTTGTTGAAAATTAGCAGAAAAGTGTAGAACGTTATCACAGGCTAATGGAATTGTAACAGTGAAAAGAAGGAGAGGTTTTATCAATACCAGCACTTCTCTACAGTCTGCTGCTAGAAGTGGTTTGCTTCTCAGCAGCCACAGTTCACAGTCTGATATATTAGTGTGAATTCTTCTTCACTGGAGAAAACTGTAGCTGGCACATACTTCTTTCTGCCACTTTATGATGGGATCAGTGATATCTATCAGACAGCTGGGGGCAATAATTTCTTGAGTCTATGATGTTAAATCTTGTAGAACCCTGTAATAAGAAAAATAATTCACTTTTTGGACTTAAAACATACACTGAATATATATATTTTTAAATATATTCCTCTTTTACAGAGACTGGAAGATTAATGGCATGGTATTACATTGCCTTTGATACAGTAAAACAGTTTTTCACAATTAAAGGAACAGAGACTTTAGATGAACTGGTAATTTATTTTTTTAAAGAAAATCTGCATATATCTGATTTTAAACAGAATCAAAGATATAGTGGAGAAGATTTTATTTCTTCTAAAGAGCTCAGGCTTTGCTTATACAAAGTACAAGACCTATATAATATACCTAAATGAATTACACATGCAGCATTTTTGAGCCCTTGTACCCAGAGAGCTTTAGATTCCACCTTTTTTTAATGTTACCAACCTTGCTTATGAAGATAAAATGATGATGATACTCTATTGTGTTATTAAATCAGTTTTATTTTATTGCAGAAAGTAGCTGCATGAAAAGCAGATCATGGTTTTTCAATGAACATGATCATTTTAAGTCAATTTCTTCTGTTCATTGTATCACAGGTTGTTTGTTTAACTATATTGTCACAAGAGGGATTTGGGTTTCAAGGAAACACTGTGATAGAATAATTGGCTATGAATAATTGGAATGCTCTCTTCTTATATAGCTGTCTTGGTTACTAAAGAATGGTAAAAGCCAAGTGAAATATATAGCAAACAACAAAAACTGTTGCTGTTTGAATTGCATGTCGTAAAGTGTTAGCAGTGCAGGTGATTTTGGGTAAGTTCAAGTAGGATAATCGTTTAGTTTCATGGAAAATTCCATGGACCTAAACATACATACGTACAGTTCCGTGGAAAATCTTTGCTTCTTATCATACAATGACCTGTGTAGGAAGATGAAAAAAGTTGGTCGATGTTAGGAAAGACTGATGGACCATCTTTTCACGATTGAAGTATTGAAAAAACTTCTTTTTTTTTTTTGGACAATGATAACATGTTGAATAAGTTGAATGATAATTTGAAAGAAATGATAAGTTGGAAGAAATAGTGGGAAAATGACAGAGAATAATAAATAATTTTTTTAAAGAAGTTATGTTGTTACAGGTTACAATGATCTCCAGCTGCACAGAATTTCTAGATGTCAAGTTAAGAACAAATGAAAAGAAAATACTGAACTCTCTGAATAGAGATAAGAACAAGATAACTATCAGGTATAAAAGTTAAATACATTGAAAAAAGAAGATACATTTTTAACAGGAATTAAAATAGTGGCAGAAAATATGTATGTTTTCTTGCATAGGTTTCCAATGGAAGGGAAGATAAAAACAAGAGAAATGAAAGTAAACTGGTAAATACAATATTGTCTTGTAAAATTTTAATAAAAAACAACCTTTTTATGGATGTTGTAGTCCCTGCTAAAATTTCTCTGTCACTGTATAGTGGATTAGATCTTACCCTTAACTGTTTTTATTCTGAACGTTGTTTCTTCATGGAAACGTTTATGAAGTTAAAGTTATAAGCAGCATGCTGCTTATATATCAAACAATAAATGCTTATTTCCAGTCTTATTCAGGCTCAGCTGGGATGCATTCCTATTCAAGACTTTACTTTGACACAAGATACTGGCAAAATATTTAGAAGCGGCATAAGAGTTACTAGATGTATGGTAAAATTTAATATTTTTTGTACATTTAATAATAAATTACATTTGATTTGATTAATACAATCTACCTTACTTTTACAGGGCTAGCTGATTTTCTGGCTTCACGTAAAAATAACTTTTATGCATTGTTAAACTCCCTGGTTTTAGCCAAGTGTTTCAGATGCAAACTTTGGGAAAATTCGCTGCATGTGTCTAAACAGTTGGAAAAAATTGGTAAGTACCAAAGCCAGTTAGAAGCTCTAAAGGTGCAGTTTGAAACAGGATCAAAACTCATAATTATTGCGTTTTTTTTAACTTTTGGGGTGCCTCTTTACATAGTTAAGTGAGTCTCCCAAATTCATTTGCCAAAGTTGAGTACCAGTGTTGTCAAAATAGTCTGTCATGATCTAGAAGAAAAATACTTCATCTAGTAATTTTATTCAGGCTTTGGATGGAATTCATGCAGTATTGTTTTGTTTGTTTTTTCTTAATGTTTTTCTCAGTATTTTGGACATACTCCACATTTGTATGATTGCATATAGCTCTGACCAAGTGGACGTTTTTTTTGAGGTCGCTTTTCCAAGGAGCTGTCACTGTAGGTCCAGTTATTCATGTGCATGAAAACCCTTTATTTTGCCCTGTCATAAATAGGGAATCTGAAATAGGAATAAATTTATGGTGCCTGAGACACATGAGGATCACAAGTTCCTAGTAATGTTTTTCCTATCACTCTGTCTTTCTAGATGGATGGCCTTCTAGCTGAAGTGCAAAGTTGTTGTAATTTCTTGAAAGGGAATCAGAAATTCTCAATCCATCTGTATTAAAAGCAAACAAACAAAAAAACAGTTATACTTTTTTGAGGTAATGGTCTAATAATGTAGTTCCCGCTTTGATTATGTCATATTGTCATGGTTTCAGAATTCACTGGGATATTCTCTGTTTTTGTTTGTTTGTTTTTAAGACATGCCTTCTCTGTACAAAACAGTATAATTCAGAGATCTGCAAATTGGTGAAGGCCTAAGCCAGAAAATCAGTATGACACAGTATATTATAGACTTAAAAGCTCAGGTGTGGAAACTATATTGCCTTGTTTATTTGGTGCTGCATTTACACTGGGAGACAGGAGAGAGACTCCTAACTTCTGATAAAAGCAGTGCAGTCTGGTGAGAGCCTGTGTCCACCACTGGATCAACGCTGACATGCACCCAGCAAGGAGCATCCTAGGAGTTTCCTTTCTATTTAGTGTCTGGGGCACTAGGATGAACAGAATCCTTTCTTATATAGCACATTAAATGGAATAAAATCAGTTTTAGGCTTTTTATTATGAAACGTCTAATATTCTTTGATTTCCTTTTTTGTATTTTTTCCTATGCTGTCATTACTTTTGGAGAGTATCTTTTGAAGAATTACTGTTTTTCGGTTTTCCATTTATTTAGTGCCCAGGCTCCTTTGAACTATCTGCAGACAGTTCACGTTCTTCCCTAAGTCAAATAGTTACTGATTTACTGCCAGTTACAATGTCTGTTGGATTCTTGAGCTCATGTCATGCTGTGGCAGCTAAGGCCATTCTGTTTCTTTGTGAAGTGAATTATTTAAGTTCGTAGAAATGTATTGATACCATTGAACATGCTTAGAAAATTGTTTTCTAAATGCCTCTATTTGTTATGGATAGTTTAGTAATCAGTAATCTGGCTTCATTTAGATTGAGGATATTTCTTCTTGTGTTTCTACAACTATTTCCATTTATTACTCATGTGCAATAAGGATGATTCCTCTTGCTGTTGTATCAGATGCCTGGTTTCTGCTTGCTTGTTCTCAGAGACAAGTGATGAGTTGTCATCCATGATTTTATCACCCTACTTGTTCTCTTTGATTTCCAGTTCCATTTTTTTCTTGATTAGAAAAAAATAGGCAAGAACTCATACATCATTTTTATCTCTTACAAATAGCATATTTTATTCTTTGCTGGAGACCCTGTCACATTCATTTAAAAAGATAATGCAAGAGCTTCTAGGTGAAGTACCTGCAGAAGTAAGAAGTGATAATCTTTAGTCATCAGACTGTTTGCAAACCTTCTACAAAGGAGAGAGTAGATGGGAAAAGCTGGTTTCCTTGAGTCAGACCCAGAAGATGTTCAAATATTCTTAAGAAAAGAGTAGGCCTTAATAAGTCTACTTGCTTCTCTAAATCATCAGTACCTGCCAGCTAAATCTTATCAGGTTACTTCAGTGTGCCGTCTGAGAAGCAATCTAAGAGTCTCTGACAGGGGTCCCACCTCATATTGGGACTTCTTTTACTGTTCCTACAGATTTACATAAAATGAAAGAATACACCCACTTTTGATATCCATGTATTTCTAATTTTTGTGCTCATTTTAGTAGGCTGCAGTTCCGAGTAAAGAAAAGCCTCTTCATACACAGAGCTCTGGTCTGAGTCCTCACTGGAAGTTTGAAAGAACCGGGAATCAGAGAGAGCAATGAGATTTTTATGTAGAATTGTCCGCCAGTCTACTTGCTGGTGTGGCAGATAAATCCATTGGAAAATAATATTGCCTCAGAATCCTGGAATAATATTTTGACAAGTATTTTTTTTCTTGAATTAAATTTACTATTATTTGCTGAAAAACATTGAGATCTGTATGAGTTTAACATAAGAATTCCTAGGGCGAAGATTAAAATTTCTGAAATAAACAATGCTGTGTGAATGCCATGCACTTTTTTTCATTGTGTAGGTCCAGAAAAATGACTGCTGATTTTTTTTTGTGAATAAAGCCTGCAGAAAAATGAGTTAGAATCTGTTCTATTTTAGAAATTGTCAAGATTGAAATATTGCGTTTGCATTGCACTTCTTTTCTACAGTTGGATAACTGGAATTAAATATTAAAATACTTAATAGCTGAAAAGAAATTTAATGATTTGCTGGGCTAAAAGTCAGGAACAAGCATACTTGTAAAATGATTTTTTTTAACATGCTATAATGCAGTTGTTGAGAACAGTTAGAGATTACACAGTGACATTTAACGTCGTATAATCTTAAAATTTTCAACAGGTGTATCACTGTCAAATGCTATGGTAAATGCTGGGCTGACCTCATTTAAAAAAATAGAAGACATAAATGCAAGAGAGCTGGAATTGGTAATTTGTTATTCTGCAGGGTAAAAAAAGCAAACTGCTGAGTATTAATACTTTTATTAGTAAATGCAGTATGATTATGTATCTGATATACAACTGCAAACAAATGCAGTGTTTTAAGTGATTTATTCATTTATACTACTAGATTAATGTACAGCAGGTAATATTTTTTCATTTAAAATGTGCAAGTTGTTTTTGTTTTAGAAAATTTTAAATGATCAATTTAACTCACCGGATTCTGGAAAGCAGTTAAATATGTAGAATTTCATAATTAATATGTTTTGAAACAAAATGATGCTAAACACTTCCCTTTTTGGAGTTTAAGGAAAAACATTAGAGGGAATGTATATTTACAGTTTCTCTGGATGTTCAGTAATATGAAAATTGTTAGTTTTCATTATTGCTAGTTTTAGTTAAAAACTGATAGAATAAAATTGTTTTGAATCATTTATAAAGCAGTTCTTGATTTTAGGGAATGTAGATTTTTCCCTGGAGGGAAAAATTAAATTTTATTGTGCCATAGTTCTGCTGCACAGCTTTTTTGGCACTTCTTTTCTGAGGAAAATTTTTCCAGTGTTCCAGAAGATACTGTAGACTTCCAAGTGAAGTGGATTCACTGATGTTTTTCTGTTTTGCCTTTTAGAATTGGTTTGATTTCTCTTTTGTAGTTTTGCATTAAAATTCTTTTTTTCATTAAATCTTGGGCAACATACAGGAGTCATCTCACTTAAAACCTAAGTAGTTCTTCAAGATTATGGGGTAGCTAGTTGACTATTAGAGAACAGAAGTAGGGAAAAGTATTGGAATTAGTTTGATTTTTGGCTCAGTTTCTATTTTGGACATCACTGATATCAGCAAACAATTAGTCCTAAGGGCTTTTGTTGTTTGTGTGATCACTCTGATGACTTTGATTTCTTGGATTCATGTGTCTGTTGGTATCTCTGTTATGAGCTTAATGCATCAGAAATGAAACCAAATCTTTGCAGATTTTAAACAGACATCCTCCGTTTGGAAACCAGATAAAAGAATCTGTGTTGCATCTTCCAAAATATGAACTTGACATTGAACAGGTAAATGCTTTTATGTTTGTTTTTAATCCGACGATATTTAAGTATCATTAAATTAAAGGTCAAATACTCCTTTTTAAGAAATCTCTAGCTTTCAATGACAGAAGATACGCACTATCGTGACTTCCTTTCACCTTAACATGAAATTCCTAGATGTCAAATGGGAGCTTTGAAATGGAACTTCTCTAGAAATACATCAGATTTTCTTTTATTGTTGTTTTTTGTTCCTTAATCTTGATAGCTTTTTTTAAATGAAGGTTTTATATGTGAATTTGAGAGTTCTCTTCTGTCTTAAATATATTTAAAAAGAAAATACGGCCAGAGAAGTATCAGAGTAAATGTACTGAACAAATATTAACTGATGCTTATTTTTTATGTCACATTTAGGAATATATAGAAACAGTAGATGATTATGTTAAGCTAGCAGGCACCATTTCAAAGGAGAGATGTAATTTGATGCTGCAGCCACATGTGTAATCAGGTGCTCTGGGGTACCAGTATGGGCTTTGTCTTTGAGCAAATCACACGGATGCTGTGCCTCCGTTTTCTGAAATATCAAATCTGAAAAACAACCTTCAAGTGTTTCATGAAGTTGGTGCAAAATGAATAGATCTCTAAAGTTATTTTTAAAAAAGAAAAACTTTTGAAATATTACTAGATATATGTGTGAAATACTTTTATACTTTAATACTTTTAGACAAGAGTTCGGTTTTCGTCTGTCATTCGACATAATATCAGATGAGTGACTCTAAAATTATTGTCAGATGACAATGATCATAATATCACAATATATTTAATAATCATAACATTTTCATAAAGAAATGTTGAAATAGCAGAAATGTGCTTTTTATACTGTCAAAAATAGCCTATTTTCTTCTTTCCCATTCTTGCATTGAACAGAATGCTTTTTGGTTTTTTTAGTGGCTTGCTGTAGACTGTGTTTTATTTCCAAAACTTTAATATACCATCTATGCTCCGTATCTGGTGTTATATATTAATTATTATATAAAAATATCTAAGCATAACAAATAAAAATAGCACCACATGTTGAGAAAACTGAGCTTTTGTGTTTCTATCAACAGTTAAAAATGTTTGAAAGGGCATAAGAACTACTTAACACACTTTAGTGGTTATGTCTTTTTTTTTCCAGCTTGCAAAATACAGTGATACATTGGCTGAAATCTTAGTAACCATCAAACTCACAAACTTTGAACAGCTACAGACAAAGAGAACTGCATCAGACTTTCACTATGTAACGTTGCTCATAGGCGATGCTGACAATCAAGTCATTTTTAAACAGAAAATTATGTATGTATTATTTTTTGGTCACATCTTTCAAGTTTTTTTGTTGTTAATTCTTTCTGTGTTTTGCACCTTTTGCAGTATTTTCTATTGATCTCAAATGGTACAAAATCAGTATTCAGTCATTCAGTATTCCATAACATTTTCTAGTCATTCTGTTGCCATAGAAAATATTACACAAGTTTCAGCATAAAATAAAAAAAAAAAATGCTGGTCCGCTTGTCCGTACAATGAGTATGTGTAAATATCTTAACGACTCTGATGTGAAGCCTTAATGCAGTTCACAAGTACATGCAAGAATTGTAAAATATCTCTTAAAATGGTACACTCTCAGATTATTACTTATCCTTATTAAATGGATTTATTTAATCATATCATATTGTTGAGACTGTTTTTCAGTCAGATGTGGAATTAAATTCTCCAGATGGGACAAGGGGTGGTGGTGTTGGGGGAGTCCCTTCCAACTGCATAACCCTCACCTGAGCACTGACCAAAGTCTAGCACTTTTGGCAGAACTGAAACTGAACTGCACGATCCTGGCTCTTTCATGGGTCATGTTTTATTAGGTTATTCATAGTCCACTTGCTAAGCAAAATCCAAGAACCAAAGCTGACTAAAGGCTCTTTCACTAGTTTTTAACACCACAGGTCTCATATTAAACAATCTTGCTGTTCATTGATCACATGTAATAGAAGTTTGCTGATATATTACAGGGATTCTGTATTGCTGAAAACAGGAAATTGGACTAAGAAAATTGAAGTGAGGAGAGCGGTCAGATCAGAGGACTTCAGTATAAACTTAATTAGTTCTGATTATGGTATGTAACCGTATGTTTTTAAAACAACCACATAAGGATTTCCAACAAATTATTCAAACACTCTATCTAAAGGCAAAAATATGAAAAACTGGTCTGTAAACACAAATTCTCTTCATTGCTTTTATTGTATTGAATATTAACTGATCCTAAATACAAATCTGTTTAATTTAGTAGCATGTTAATAGATTAGGAAACTTCAAACTTTGTGTCTTCACTTGTGCAGACTTAGCCATTGGTCCCCTCAATGGCAATTTCTCTAGAACCGTAGGTACCACAGCAGATGAGGAGAGATGGTGATGACCTTGAAACACAGCCTTGTGCAATACAAGTGAAAAATGGACTGGCTGTATTAAATTGTCATCCAACCCCCCCTGTATATTGCCATGATAAACTTTAAGAATATTACAGTAATTCACCCTAGGAGAAACATAGGTACTTCTTCAGTTAAACTTGTGGCTCAGGAAGAAAGGAGTGTTTTCTTCTAATGTAAATGAATAAAAGAGTTTCCTTTCTCTACTTCTTAGCTATCTGCGGGGTCTACTGAGTCCAGAAAAACTCAGCAGAACTGTTAATTTCTCTCAAATGGTACCGTTTATAACCTAAGTTATTTTAAAGGCAGAATTTCCTATCCTGTATTTAGTTTTAAGTTCTGATTCAGATTTAGGGGAAATGCTTTCATTTTTAAAAAGCATGTCTGCTTTTTAAGCCATGTTGCTTGCCTAATAAAAGATACTCTTCCTAGTGTTTCTCATAATTAAACTAAGATTCATATATCTAATACTAGAGACATCAGCATTCAACTTCAAAAGTGCTATCAACATCTTTGATTTATTCCATTAAAAATAGGATAAAACAGACTTTAGTACCATTGTACAGTAAAAACTGGATCAGCAATTCAAAGCTGGAGACTTTTTTTTAAAAACAGTGCAGAAGAAAAAAAGTGGTAAAGGCACTTGTGCAAGCTATGTAATATAGCTAAATTACTCCTGTAAAAACCATAGCTTTAATTTCTGAGGATGTATGGGGTTTTTTGAATCTTAATTGTAAAGAACCCATTCTTGCCTTTAATGGTACGTTATCTTAACAAATTTCTTTGGACTTTTAATAAACATTTATGTACTTGCTTAAACACTTTACAAAAGTGAATGTAATAGGTAGCTTAGAAATATTTCACAGTCATTTTAAGCATTTCTGACTTTTTTTTTCAAAGTTGGCCTTGATGTACAGCAAGCATATACAGCATTTTACTTGGGACCAAAAACACTGGGAAGTAAAATGATTGTAAATCAAAAACTTAAAGATGATTCTTCTCTCAGTACATATCATGGCTCACCACAAAGACTGCCATCATCAAAAATAAATACAGGTAAACAATAAGATCACATAATTCAGCTAGTACTGAAGTAAAAAAAAAAAAAAAGTTGAATTTTAGTTTCAGTAGAGGGGTAGGGCTTTATTTATTCCTACTGTCTTTTTCTCAAGTACAAAAGGATAATGTTGATGCTTAATCTGGTCAAGTACTACAGTGTATTTCTGTGATGAATTTGAATATAAGAGAAAAATATATCTGGTATCTCATACTACTTCAGTTTGATTTTGGTGGGAATGCCACTGTTTTTCCAGTAAGACTGGCTAATTTCTTGCTAGTTATATTGAAACATTGTCGAAGGGAACAAGCTTTTGCTATGCAGGGTGTTTTAGTTCTTCTTTTACTGCATAAAGTACTTTCAACAACGAATATATAAACGATAAAATTTAATATAAGTATTTCTGCATTATATTCATCTAGGAGGCAAATCTAAACAGGAGAATGACTGCAGGAAATACGGGAACAGAGAATGCAACCATCATTGTAAAAATAAAGATGAGTGTGGACATGACTGCTGTGAGTTTCATTAAACCTATTACTTCTGTCACTTTCTGACAAATATAGTTCGGAATAGTTCACTGATACCAATGCCTACATTAACATGCAAGCAAGTCAGGCTTGCTATGTTGCTATGTTGCAGTCATAAAAGTAATAAAACATTTTAGTACACTTTCATAAGAATTACAGCGATTAATAATATTTTACAGAACATGTAGCATGTGATACAAGAGCATCGTCAAGCTTGTCACATTTTTGTAGAAATATGAGTGCATAAATTATTTAGCTTTTAGTAGAACATAGTTTAGTGGCAAAATTTCTAGCGATCAGAAAAGGATTAGGATATATCCCTCCTACACTAGTCTGAAGGTCTTTTTAATTCCTTTATTCAGGTAAAACTGGAGTGTCCCCAAAGTTGGAAATGAAGAGGGATTCAAAGTTTTCTTTGTACCTGGCTGATTTAAGGAGCAGGAACTCTGTTTCATCTGTACCCCCAGTAAAACGATTAAAGGTTCGTTTGAACAGAGTCAGCCATTGAATTGATTTATGTATTTGTATGCATTTATTGCTGGGAAGCATTTCATAACTAAAGCATGAACTTGCAAATATGTCTCTTGTGAAGAATATGAACAGCTAAGAAGCACAAAAGTAACCACAGGCCTGATAATCTGTGAAAGGTTCAGCTGCTGGTTGAAATGCTTCACACTTCCTACAGAATGCTTCTCTGCAAGTACTCAGTGTTTTTATTTCACAGGGTTTGATAGATTGTGGTAGGTAAGCTACAGAGGCATAGCTGGAAGGTACTGTATTGCAACATTATTTTGGCAAAATATGATCAAAAAGGAAAACTAATTGTGGTATCTATGAGAATAATGTTACTGAGAGACCTTTATGCATTGACACTAACATTTGCATGTTTAAGAAGAAAAATAACCCTTCTTCTTTTTAAGCTGAAAGATTTCAAAGCAGTGTAGTGTTAAACTAGTCTTTTCTGCAGAAAGAGTGGTATTTTATATTTTGGAGTGTTTTATTTCCTCAGGATTTTTTTTTTTTTTCCTCAGGAGAGAATGATTTAGCCTATAGCTAATAGAGAAGAAACACACTTAGTGATAACCACCCTGACCTTGCCAGGGTACTTGGATAACTTTAAATAAGCCTGTAATTTAAGCCTTTTGACTTACCCAATCAAGTAACTACACAGCAGAAAGAGTTAATGTGTGATCTTTAAAAATATGTTTTCCAGATCATTTTAAAAAAAACACTTTTCAATATGTGCATGCCTTGTCACTTACAATATGCCTTCTTTAGATGCAGATGCTAAATCAGTCTCAGAATGTGGATCTCACACAATTTGTTTTTACACCCAAATCTTTAATGCCAGCATTGCCAAGGTACTATAATTTTTTTAAGTTATATTTTAGAAAATGTGCTAAGTTTTAGCAGTTAAAACTATGTTCTGAATCGAATTAGTTTCTGTTGCAACTTTCTTTAACTGTTTTACTGATCATTTATTTATTTATTAAGATCTGACAAGAAACCATCATCTTTATGGCCTTCAGTAGATCAAGAAGATAATGTTAATATGGTAGGAAGATCTCCAAAACCACCACAATCCTGGAATTATGGAAACAATAGTAAGCTATTGTATTGCTAATATTTAAATTTACGGTTTTCACTGTTTAGAATTGCATGTTCCTCATAAACTGACACTTGCTGAAATTACTACTACAGCCACTATAACACTGCATAGCACCAAATGTACAAGAAAATAACAGTGCACATATAAAAAAAATGCAAGGAATGAAGAATATGTGAAATTCAGTAACCTAACCCTGTTGTTTATTTTTTAAGTGTTTATGTTTTATGTTTATTAAGTGTGTGTGTGTGTCTGCGCAATTACTAACTATGCTGACTCTGCATACCCAAAATGACAAGAGCAGGGCCCTGCCGGTATTGCCAACATGTGTGGAACGGGATCTTTGACTTGAGCCTATCCTAATCTCTTTGATGAAATGGAGATGTAGATCAGGGTTTTTGAGGCAGATAAGCTCCTGGGCAAGAGAATAAAGATTCTAGCACAGTCTAGAGCTGAAGGGCAGTATAGCAGAAGAGAAAGGGGGAAAAAAAAAAACGCATAAAGAGAAGGGGGTTGATGATGAAGAGAAAATATATAATCAGATGAAAGGAAAGAGTAGAGGCAGAAGCAGGATAATTGTCTTTCCACTAGAGGAGGAGAAAAAGAAAAAGAATTTCTGAACATGATCACTTTTTAATTAGGAATTTTAACAATAATATTTGAATATATTTTTGTCATGGCTAGTTCTTTGCCATTGGGTATTGTGAGAGGAGAATAATGAATTAACAGTAAGAATGATTTGGAAGACACTGAAAAGGTGAAGTGACTGAATTATAATATTAAACTCAATCAAACTGGTTCTGACAAAAACAGAGGAAAGAAATTGCAGTGATTGAAGGCTCATTTACTAGGCTCTGTAATGAGGATAACTATTTTCTTAAAACAATGCTGAGTAAAGAGGGCATATATGGCGATAATTTTAATATCTTGAACAATAGGTCTTAAAAACATAGTACAGTTTTTGCTTCACTTGTGCATTGCAAATGTGTTACAGATTTGTCTTCGAAGCATTCCATGTCTGTGAGTCAGAAAAGCCAAGAGACAAAGACATCAAAAAAAAACCTTAAAGAATCTTTAATGCATAACTTGACTGATACTGATAAAAGCAAGTCTTGGTTTTCTGAGACTTTGAATATTAGCTTTGAATTGGGAAATGATGTTTGGGATGATTTTGATGATGAGAAATTAGTATTGGCTAGCAATGTTTCCAGTAGAGATTTAGGTAAGGTTATTGTGATAAAACAAATTTTCCTACTTAAAATTTCTTTCCCAACTTCTTTTTCACAGTAATTTATTGTTGTATAAGTTCATTAGAATTATCAAAATATCTTTGGTTAATTGACCTGACCACTGGATTTATTGTTGTACTTTGAAACTTACCTATAAAGAGAAAAAATAATATAAAATGGAGAATTGAGAAAGGCATAATTTTAATTTTTTCAGATGACCTGTGGCTGCCTAATTTATACGACTGCGTATCTCTGTATTAAAAATTAGTCTAAAACCCACAGAGGAAATATTTTGAGTGTTAAGATATTTGAATAATTTCAGATTATTATTTATGGAATTACATAAAATATAAGAATGGCTATTTTGTGCTTGAGTTTTTGAAATTTTCTTCCTTATGTGGTACATGGAACTATTCACCTTGAAATTACAGATGAATGTGAACCACTTTGCCAGTACACAAGAAGTAGAGTCACAAGTGACATTTCAAAACAGTAAGAATTATATGGAATATATTATGATTTAATTCAATTTAAAGGAATACCTGTAGCTGATATATCTGTTAATGATACCTGTTTAAGGTTATATCTTTGTTTAAGAATTTTGGGAACAGAGACACTGGAATGTAACCTGTAAAAGTGAGTGAAACTTCAACTTTAAAAATATATGAATTGAAATATATTTATATATTATATATTTATATATAATATATTTATATGTTTATTATATATTATTTAAAAATATATTATTTGAAATGAATTTTTAGTTAGTGTAGATGGATGTAAATTGAGAATATTCAACTGAAAACAAGCCATTATGCATTTCTGTAAAAATACTTATATTATTCTGCTTGATATTTTCAGTTCTTGCACATTACAAGATGAGACCAATACCCAGAATTCAGCTGTTTCTGTGTTTAGTGGCCCATCAAAAGAGAAATTGTCCATACAAAGTGGAAATATAAATATGGTGAGTAAAGGCTATCTGTAACAGTTTCTCCTATAATAAAATTAGATAATTTTGTTATCTCATATTTATCATATGTGACTTATGGATAAGTTTAAACACATTGATTTTCTGAACCTCTCTGAATTTTCCAAATAACGAACAACCATACATTTTGAGCTCAGAGTGATAACTCTGACTTGAATTCACTTCATATAGAATCTTTCACTTCAATTTACTTTTATATAGAACAATTTCAAAACTATTTACACAGTCTAGCTGTGATTCTGCAAATCATGCATGTGTTTAGGCCTTATCAATGACCACAATCACAGTATAAATATCTGTATTAGTAATACAACAATTTGGCAGTTTCTCTGGCAGTTAGTTACTTTAACTATACAAACTTTTTTACGTTTACATTGCAGTTCAGTTTTCAAGAAAAAGAGCATTCAAAACCTTCACAAGAGTTCAAAAACATACAGTGTTCTTCGAGCTCAGAAATAATCTCAGACTCTTCTAAGTTCAGTAGGAAAGGAGATTTTTTTATTTGCACAAGAGAACCAGAAAAAAAAATGGATTCCAGGTAATACAAAGTCATTTGTGTATGTTTTAATGTTGCCTCGGTGTTAAGTGCTTAGTTCTTTGTGGAACTTGGGCACTTAGGTGATGCATGAGCTTAGAGCAAATTCATTTTGAAGGAATTAATTCTGACTGTAATAATAGCAATTAGTTTTTCTTAGGAAGGAGGAGATATTATTTTACTTGTGCTGATATCTGCTATCTGTTTTTTATGTGATATTTCTGATTCCATCGGCTTGTTGTCCAATGTATATTTTTTATTTGCTTAATTTTCATTAGATATTGTCCTGATGATGAAACCAATGATGTCAAGCCCTTTCTTGGAATATTTGATGACATTTTCTGATACATGAAATATATTGTAAGTGCTGGAAAAAAACATATATAGTCATTTTTCCAGGGCAAAGCATTCAAATGTCGTTAAGAGAATTTGTTTTCTGTTGTACGACTGTTATTAGGGGGTAGTTTGCTGCACAGAATAGATAATAAAAATGAGGTTCTAATTATATGATCTCATTTTGAAAAGTATTTAAATCTTTGCTGGCTTTGCTTTTTTCAGGATTATTTTCAGGAGAAAAATATTGGAGTGTGCCAATAAAGGAGAATAGTTCTGAAAGTAGGGGAGTTTTTAGATAAAGTAAAATCACATAAGGGAAAATAAGCTGTTTGTTACATGCCTCAGCTTATTCTGAAATGAATGAAATGCCGTCCTCACAAATGTCTTCATCTTTTACTTTTTTATCTATGTCAATTCTTCTAATGCTGAGTTTTTCATAATCTTGATTTTATCTAAAATAATTAGATTTACAAGTAAATAGAATAGTAAGTTGTCCTAGGCTGTATTTCTTTTGATAGTGTTATCTACTTTTTAATAAAAGAGTATAACTTCCTTCATGCAAATGTGTTTCCAGACTCTAAGCAAATCTGTTGTAAAATATCTATAAACAATTTTTTGTAGTTACATTTAGCTGATACCTGAGGTCATAAAATGAACATTTATGCATCCCAGTACAGACTGAGGCCTGCCTTTGGACAGGTTTATTTACTGGCTCCCAGCAGCAATTCTGATATTCAGTTCCTCTCATGCTTTGACAAAGAGGCTGTCAGTAACAGGAGCTGCTGTTTGTTTTTCATTTTAGAGTTGCCTCTCTCATTCCTGATCTGATTTTTGCAAATATCCTTCCTGATAAATCAAAAGAGAGCAAAGTTAGCATCCAAATAAAAACAGCACAATTATATGTGGTCAACCAGACCAGAGGTCACCTGCTCATTAGCTTCAAGGGTCAACTTTGGTGTCTGTTTTTGCCATCAAGGAAATCTTTTTTGCACTAAACAAAGAACTGTTTAATAGTATTGTCTATAATAAAAATATGTCCTTTCCTTGACTGAAGAGACAACACAGTGTCAAATATAAAATATTCCTTTCCAGGATGTTACCAGATCTGTGAAATTTGCCAATGATGAGCCATATAGTTGATCAGTAGCACACAGAGTTTATTTTGGTCTCAGCCACACAAGCCATCTTCCCTAATTCTAGCAATGCGTTACCTTTGAGTGAAAATGGCTCTTAATCAGTCCTAGACAGGTTTTGTCTCTATGAAGGATACTTGAGTAATCAATTTTGTGTTTCTCTTGTTACTGTCAAAGGGGAATAATGCCTGGAAGCTTCTGTTCTCTGTAAAAACTACTTGTGGGAAAGCTCTGTCCAAATGGAACCTGCTTGCAGGTCTAATCGGTGTATCTGGGCTTCAAAAAAAGGAGGGCTAAGGGTGTCCTGGCCTGCTGTCTTCTGAGCATTTCTGGCCCTGGTTTATGTGCATATGTGAAAAATTTTGAAAGACATAGCCTTTTCCAGGCACGGACATGACTCCAGTTCCAGCTCTGAATGGACTCAACTGAAAATCCCTCTTACTTTTCATCCACTGGTTCAGTGCCCACCTGCTAATAAAAATCTTCTCTTTTAGACAAAAAGTTACCAAGGAATGATTCGACTGCCTAGATATAGATGTCATCTTAGATGCCTTGTAGAATCTTTCCTCGTTTCTGTCTGCCTTCCCAGAGGAACACAGGTCTTTCTCTCCACAAGGAGATGCACCCTAGAGCCTGTCTAAATGGCACTGGATCCTGTGTTTAAGCACCTGACTCAGTCCCTGGTGCCTGAGTGATACACGATGTTTTTCCAACCCATAGTTCATATTACATAGAATGCTTAATTGTCTCAGTATCCTGCTTTTCCATAGGGTTTTAGTTTGCAGCAACTATTTTGAACTGTTCTTCAGTATCTCCAAATTTGACAAAGGGTTTTTACACAGCAGCGCAAAGCTGAGCTTCAGACATGTAGAATAAGGTGAAGTTAAGGAAACAATTTATTGCTAACTTGAGCTGAAACTCTTGACTTTTCAAAATCTCAGTTATTGGCCAGTTGTGCAGGCATCACACACAATCCAAACAGACTTGTTGCATCAGCCACTGCACTTCCCACTGCTGTCCTGCATGAAGCTTCTTTCTTGTGATTAAAAGTTCTAAAATGTGAGGTACTGACTGTCTGGAAGTGGATCGTGATTAGGTCTTCATAGAAATGAATAAGGTAAGTATCTATTTCTCTGTACTAAGTATCTTTTCAGTTTGAAGATGTTTTTACATTTCCAGTACTCTTTAAATGCATTTATATCTTTCTAACAAATACTTTGGTAATTTATATAATATCCAGAATATGGCTGACATTATTGCCATTTTTGCTTCAATTTTCTTAGCATAACCTAAATATAACTAGCCATTTTTGGTCAGTTTGTGGTCAGTTGTGGTGTACATTTAGCCTGTTACCTCAGATAAAAGTATCTTTGAAGTTATTTTATTTTCCTCTTAAAGTTTTCCTCAGTGCAGGCATTTAATAATCATTATTGGGAACCTCCAAAGTTCAGACTGATTACTTTTCTAATACTGTATTCGGGTTCTTCCTTATGTTTTCTTTATGTTTTTTTCCATAGCCTGTTCACCAGTGGCGTATACCCTGTTCTTTGGGTAGTATCCCAGATTACTGTTTGCAATATTTGTTTGCAAAATTTACAATTTGATTTATAATCAGAACATGTGATAATAAATGCATTTCAGTACTCGCAAGGCTATTTGGAATACTTTTGAGCTAGTTTATTAGATTACTTTCTGACTGTTTCTCACAGGGAATCGGCATCCTATACCATACTTGAAAATAGCAGCAGATACTGACAACCTTTTAAAGACTCGAGAAGATCTTTTTAATGCTGTCGTGTCCTTCTAGTGATATAAAACTTACAGTACAAAAACATATTTTTATAGAGAAAAGAGCTTTATTTGACACTGTTACTTTACTTCATTCTCTCTACTTTAAATACCTTTCAGAAAACCAGTTCTCTCTGTAAGTTCTTCCTAAAGTTCTACTTTAAATACCTTTCAGAAAACCATATTGGAAATATTTATACATATTGAAATGTTCTCTTATTTCAAGAGAAGGAAAGATTTTTCGTATGTTTCATTCATTTTTTGGAGTTGTAGTAGTTGAAAGATCAAAAGTGATAACCATGCTATGTCACCATGACAATAATTAATTGCAACTACATAACTATACTTCAGAAGTAGTACAGACAGATCAAATTGACTGCAGTATTAAACAAAAACAGTCAAATCTAAATACCTTACAATTAAACTTTCAATGTTGGGAACTCGCCCGTTATGCTGTGCTTAGCCCAGCAGTCCAGATCTGCCAGGGCTAAACGTGCGTCCTTGCCTTGTTGCAGTTCCGTGTCAGGGAGGGATTTAAGCATGCACAGTTCATCTGCCCCCCAGCAGGTCTCTGTGGAGAGCAGATGGGTG